TATATATATAATAATATATATATAATATATAATATATATATACGTATATGTAATATAATACATACATACATACATATAATATAATATATATATATATATATATATATATATATATTATATATATATATATATATATACACATGTATATAATATATATGTATACATACATACATACATACATATATATATATATATATATATATATATATATATATATATATATATATATATATATATATATATATATATATACATACATATATATATATATTATATATATAATATATACATACATATATATATATATATATATATATATATATATATATATATATATATATTATATATATATATATATTATATATATATGTATGTATGTATATTTAATGACACACACCACACACACACACACACACACACACACACACACACACACACACACACACACACATATATATATATAGACAAACACCAAGACACACATATATACATATATAAATATATTATATAATTATATCATCATTATGTAATATAATTATCATCATCACCATTCTGATTGTTGTTAGTCTTATTGATATTGAAATTGTCTTGATGATCAGGATCATTAACGTGATTTTTTTTTTTTAAGTGATTATATATGTTGTTTCGGTTACTGTATAACATCTTCTAACCAATGTATTGTTTTGAGTATTATCGTTATCACATTCGTCTTTCCGTTTAGTTATTATTCTAAATTTTGCTCAACCTTCGAGTCCCCACAGCAATAGGAAGGGCAATGAACCATACGCCATTGTTTGTAAACCTTTAATTGTAAACTTTAGAATCCATTATATTTACAAATTCAGGAATGGAAATAACACACACTTTCGATATGAAGACATGTCGGATAGCCTGTCGTGACCTCTGTTTAATCCAGACGAGGACCTCGAGGCAAATTCTTTCGTAACGTTCCCCTCCTCACTTAACGTCTGCGAGTGACACAGTTGCTTTGATGCTTGTGCACAGCTCTCGTGCTTCAACCTGTACTGTGATTTTGCTTGGTCCTTGTCAGCATTATTGGTAACCGTGTCTATTGCTTTTTTATGAATGAAATATAATCTTTGATATACCTGTTTCATTTCACAAGGAAACACATGCGTTCCAATATTTTTTCTGCTCTTTCGGTATGATTGGTAAATTAACGATATCAGATTTCAAATACATGACGACAGCGATTCCCTAGTCATATTTTGGATACTTCCGTCCGCCTTACTTGGATTTGCCTTGTCAAGTCACAAGAGAGGTATAATGACTTCTGTAAAGCTCACAGTAAAGTTCTAAGCTTAGGAATATCATCTCTTATCGTTAATCGTCTATAAGGCCTTTCCACATCGTCCGACTACAGACATTGACATCTATATTACGTATTCTGAACACTTAGAAATTAGATTTATTCCACGTTGAAGTCTGACAATTGACATAAATATCACATTGATGGTGACTATAATCTAAACATAGAAATATACAATAAATAAGTTTTAAAAAAATCAACTCTTTGGCATCAACTCCTAAACAGAGATTGGGATGAGAACACTACATTCAAGAGAATATATTTTTAGCAATGTATGTTCGGAATCTTTACGTAATGGGATGAGATGCTATCAGTGTTTTCGTGCAAGGAAACTGTCACGGATGCTAAAAATATTACCAATACTTGAATGAGTGTTTGCATACTCACAAAGCCGTATTTTAGATCTCACTTCAAAAGAACTCCAGAGTGCGCACTTACCATGCGTGAGTGCACACTGCGTTTTCGAGTTCCTTTGCAATTACAATGTCCTTGCATGGAGAATCATTGGCGCATTTCTAAGAAATGAAACACCGCATGGTGCCCTCCATTACTTCCTCTCGAAGGTTGTTGCGTGATAACCAATACATTTCTTCGATTGATGGAAATTAGTATATTGTTTTTCATATATAAGTCCAATCAATGAGCGTATCAATGAAGTCTTTTTATTATTATTAACCATCTACTTTCGAGTCTTCATAATTCCAACCATGCGAAAGGAATCATGGATGCACCAGGGTAGGAAAAGAGTACATACAAAATTGACACCTTCAGCATTATTGTTTTGTTTGATTGGTGAGCTCCTATTGAAGACATCAACAGGAAAATGTTAAACATACAGTGGTGAGATCAAAAGACATTATTTGTATATTCGTCTTATAAAAGATATACACTTATATAAGAAAATAAATATTGGATCATACTCTACGCCGTTATATATCAAACTCTGTTCATATCATCCATCATAAAACATATAAATCATGTATACATATATCTTAATCCAGACATATCTAATAAGTATGTATTAAAAAAAAAAAACTTTAAATGAAACGACACTTAAAATTATATTCCCTGATAAAAAGAGAAAGCAAACCCAGACAGATAAATCAACAAATTCAAAAATGTTCAGCCATCTTCTTATGGTGGTAAGGAGCCAGAATTGAATTTCCGAGAGAATTATCGAACATCTTGAAAAATGATACAGTTCAAATACATTTATTGGAAACGGCATCCTCGTACAAATGTATTCACAAAGGCGATTGAAAAGTTGGGGTATGTGGGATTTGTGATCACAAGAAATAGTCATCATACATTCTGTGAATAACTAGTTAATGACAAAGTTTTCAAAGTTCACAGTGTACTATTAGCCTGCATTTGGTTTAGTTATTGTCATCATATGGTATCTGTTAAGAAGTTGCCTACTGTAAATCATTGCGATAGCCTGGGGAAGCTAT